CCTCCCAAGTAGCTGGGACTACAGGCGTGTGCCACCACAACTGGCTAATTTTTTCTATTTTTCTAAGCTCTTTTCTTATTTGTATTTCCCTCTATTTCCTTTTTTCTTCTGAAGAATGCCTACTTCTTTGTGATCCTGCTTAAATGTCTCCTTCCCAAATCAAGCAAGCAAACAAACAAACAAAAATAACAACAACAAAAAACCCCAGAATCTTTTCTTCTTCAGGGCCCTTACAGCATCTGTTCTTTCTTCCATTTGTCATTCGCTAAGCAGGTACTTATTAGTACCTTTCATGTTCCAGGCACTTTTTGTTAGGTTCCAGGTGGGTATGTAGGAGATAACCAAACATTGTTCCTGCCCTCGTGGAACTCACAGACTAGCGGGAGAGAAGACAACAAATAGGTGATCAAAATGAAATATGTAATACAAATTGTCAAAGGTACTATGAAGAAAAAGAACTGGTAGAAAGCAAGAGGGTTTTACTTTGCAATGGGTGATTAGGAAAGGCCTCTCTGAAGTGAGGATGTTTAAGCTAAAACTTTAGTGAGAAGGAGGTAGTCAGTAGACTACTGGGAGTGGGGTGGGAGAAGAGCCTTCTAGGTAAAAGAAATGGCCCTATAGGAAGGCCCTGTGAGTGGAAAGGACTATTTTATTGTTCCAGGAACTAAAAGAAGTCTATAATAGGCTACAGCAGAGAGAAGAGAATAAAGCCAGAGAAATTAAAAAGTAAGAAGGGGCCAGAACAGGCAGAATCTTAGGCCATGGTAAAGAGTTTAGGTTGTATTTTATTTCCAATAGGAAGCTATTGAATGATTTAAGTAGGTGATATGGTTTGGATATTTGGCCCCTCCAAATCTTGTGTCGAAGTTTGATCTCCAGTGTTGGAGGTGAGGCTTAGTGAGAGGTGTTTGGGTCATAGGAGTAAATCTCCCGTGAATGGCTTATGCCCTCCCTATTGATAATGAGTGAGTTCTAATCTTGTTAGTTCACATGAGAGCTGGTTGTTTAAAAGAGCCTGGCACCACCTCCTCTTTCTCTTTTTATTCCTCCCACCATGTGACACTCCTGTTCCCCCTTTGCCTTCTGCCTGCACCATGCTTGTACAGTCTGCTGAACTGTGAGCCGAATAAACCTCTTTATAAATTATCCAGCCTCATAGCAGTGCAAAAAATGGACTGGCAGAGAAGGGGAATGCTGTGATCTAATTTATATTTTTAAAGAGTACATTGGAGAGAGGAAGAGTGAACACAGGAGGCTAATTATTAATAGTAAGTAGTCTATTGCAGTAGACCAGGTGATATATGATGATGGCTTAGACTAGTAGGTTTAAGGAAGTGGAGATGGAGAGTAGTGGGTGGATTTGAGCACTATTTACTAGGTGGTTTGACAGGATTTTATTGATTAGAAATAGGGAGTGACAGAGATTTGCATTTTGACCTGTTTGCAAACGCGAGGACGCTACGAATCGCCCATCACGGCTGGCCCCCTAAACGCCCGAAAACAACCACTCCACAAATCCAGTCCCCGCTGCTGAACCCGTGTTTTTACATTCATTCATACCTACAGATATCTCTATCCTTCTTAGAATTTTTGTTAACGAACCCACGGGGTGGGGGTGGGAGAGTTCTTTGTTGCTTGCCACACAGAAAGCCAATTTCTGAGACAATGAGGTTTGTCGAGGAAGAAAAGATTCATTGCAGAGGAAGCGTCAACCAGGAGGTAGGAAGAATGGACTGCCTCAAATCTCCCTTCCTGACCAGTGGGGTCAGGAGTTTTTCTGGAGGTGAAATAAATAATGCATGAAGTGAGTGAGCATCATTACATGTTTGGGACAGAGGACAGGGCATGCAAGTGCAGTGAGAAATCATGCTAATACATACATCCCATGATCAAAAAATGATAGATAAGTCCCTCCCAGGGTGGGGATTTTAGGAGTGTAATGAGCTAAGGGTTCATACTGGTCATTCTTTCCTCCTCACGTGCAGGCTGGATGTAGGGAGTAGGCTGCTCAGCGGGTCCTTGGGCACAATCTATGGTGGGGTGTTGCTTATCTTGTCTTCTCTGGACAAAAAGGTGGTGTAAGGCTCTGTAGTTATCTTGTGGCTGAAAGAAGGTTCCATCCTTTTTGGGAAAGAAACTCAAAAGGGAACGTATCAGTGCAATAGAAAGTTACAAAGTTCTGGTCAGCAAATCTTACTGGCCTGGGAACTTGAAACATAGGAGAACTATAAAAAAACTGTGAAAAGAAGTTTTATTGCTTATGGAACTGGTTACATTTTGTCAGATTCTTTTTTTTTGATTTTAAGGTTTTTTTTTTTCTGTGTAGCCTCCATGGAAACATTTATTGAGCACCTTTACCAACACAACCATTCCTTTTTTTTTTTTTTTTCCCAATCATTAGTGTTTCTCCAGCTGGTTTTTAGGTCTTGAGTTTGTTAGTTGCTCTATTATGAGTATATTCTCCTGAGTTCTTCCCACGTTACTCTTTTCTATTTTGTGTTCCTTAGACATTTTCTGTGCTCTCCCTCCAGAAACCTTTTACAGCGCTTGAGAGTACAAGAGAGACACACCCAGTGGATTATTCAGGTTAATATACACTGTTTATTCTAAGCCAGGGCTTCTGTCCTGATCCTTTATCTGCTTTCCTTCTCCAGTGAGCAAAGTAGGGAGCTGAGGAAATTTTAGCACCCACTTTTTATCTTTTACCTTTATACCTCAGAGAAGATCCATGCCTAAGAAGCTACCCACACTGCTTATATCCCTAGGACCACAGGGCCTTTCTAAGTAGAAGGCATTATTAGTGCCATATTGAAAGAATACAGAGAAGAGAAAGTTACCACTTCCAGGTTTCATAATTTATAATTTCTTCAGTCTGTCTATTTAGACTGAGAGAAGCAGCACCAATTATCAAATTGCAGTGATGAAATGAATCCATGAAATTAAGAGATGAAAGGAGCCAAGGATCTCAGTTAATAGTTTGGGAAGTTGAGGTTAAGATAGGCCAAGTCAGGACTGCATTGAGGATGTCAGATCCTTTGGTTTTGATTACTTTGGCTGTTGAAAAATACCTTAGTTAACTCTTCATCGTCCTTGATGCCAGTTAAATTGTTGGGTTGATCTTGAAAGAGAGGAGAGTTTTGCTGTGGTAACAGAGTTGTTCTTCAGCTCTGATGGCTAGTGTCAAACAATCCGGGCATTAACAGTAACGTTGTCTGGTACAGCCACTCCTTTACTAGACTTTGAGGCCCTTGAGGGCAGAGAGAGTCTCTTTATATCTTTCTCTCTGCTATGTGGCACAGTGACAGTAGGCACACAATACATATTGAAGAAATGAATCTAATATGTAAAAACATGTATCAGAGACTGATCATGTTCTTCTGCTCTGCCTTGGCGCCAGAAACTGAACCCTAATCCTCACATATTTTATGTAACCGGATCTTTTTCACCATCCCTACCTCTACTACATTAGTGCAAGCCACCGTCATCTCCTATCTGGGCCACTTAAACAGCATTCCAATGTATCTTCTTTCTTCCATTTGTGCTCTCCTAAGGTACATCTTGCAAACAGTAGTCAGAGCTATCTTCTAAGAAATGCAAATCAAATCATGTCACCTGTCTACCCTGATCTTCCAATGGCTTCCCTATTTATCTTTCTCATTTTTCAAGTTTATTCCATTCATGAATTAGAGGAGCTGATATTGTGATACTGAGGGATTCCTTTATAAAGTATTTCTATTTCCTCCCCTCCCCTCCCCAAAACAGAACACACACACAGAAAAAAAAAATCTATCTAGAAAAACGTCATTAGCAGTAGGTGGAAACGCTTCAAAAGAGAGGAATAAATACTTTTTAAGAACCTAGATCCAATTAAGGCATTTAGCTGGGCGTGGTGGTGCGTGCCTGTAATTCCAGTTACTCAGGAGGCAACATTGCAAGACCCTGTCTCGAAAAAAAAAAAAAATTTCACATGAAGTTTTGTCTATCTTTCCAACCCTTTCATCTAATCCTAGAAAGGCCTTCTAGGATACATAATGGAGCCACCTACTGAGCCTGTCTCTCGGTCTGAGGGAAGAAATGAAGAGATTTCTAAATTCTTTAAGTCTCCTCCACTCAAAATGGAGGAAGCTAACAAGGATACTTACATACATACTTCCCAGGCCAGGGGAATGGCAATCCACCATAGTGATTTAGAGTGTAGATGGTGGAGGGGCAGGGAGGAAGATTAATGGGTACAAAAATACAGTTAAAAGGAATAAGACCTAGTGTTTGATAGTTCAGTAGGGTGACCATAGTTAACAATAATCTATTGTACATTTTGAAATAGCTAGAAGAATTCAAATGTTCCCAGCATAAAGATAAATGTGGTGATAGATATCCCAATTATCCTGATTTGATCATTATACATTATATGAATGTATCAGAATATCACATGTACCCCCAAGATATTTGCATCTATTATGTAGCAATTAAAAAGAAGACTATAGATAGGCCTTGAAGTCAGACTGCCTGAGTTTAAGTCCCGACTATATTACTTATTGGCTCTGTAACGTTGAGCAAATTGTTTAAACCTCTCTAAGACTCAGTCGTCTTATCTGTAACATGGAAATATTGCTTATCTAAGTTTCTGTAGGGATTAAGTGAGCAATTAAGAGATTAAGTGGCAGTGTGTTTTCAAAAATGTTAGTTATTTTTCTCAGTCCTCACTATCATCACTATAGTCATATTGCCACTCAAAGGAATGTCTTAAATTTATCTTTCTTGCAGCATTTATATTGTAATTTTCTATTTCTACATCTGTTTTCCCACAGACTTTAAGAAACCCATTTTATTTACTTATTTATTTTGGAGATAGAGTACAGCGGCATCATCAGAGCTCACTGCAACCTC